ATTAAATATAAAATATAATTATAAAATACATTCACATCTAAATTATTAGAAACATAATAAAATGCACAAATTATAAACAAGTTTTTATATTCATTTACAATTATAAAAATTGATAAGATTTAAAAATTTTTCTTGACTACATCACTAGAGGCATCAAAAATAATAAAAGACAATTTTAAATTTTAAATACAGTACAAATAATTTTTAAAGGTTAAAACTAATTTTTTTTCCTTAATGTAGCAAATGATTCAATCTCATCTTCCAAATCTTGTTAAAAACAATTAAAATTTAACATAAATGTCATTAAGAATGATTAGAATCATTTATAATTAAAATTTAAAACTTCATAATTAAATATCTAAAAATAGTAGAATATCAAATTTAATTCTATTATATAGTTTTAAGACTTCTAAAATGATATTTCTTAAAATCTAATTAAAAGAATCAAAATATTATTTTAAGAACAAATTAAAAATTTAGAATTCTCAAAATAGAGTCATATACTAGTTATAAAAAATAAAGTTACAAATGAATAAAAAATTTAGAATTAGAGTTAGAGTATATGATTTAAAAAAAAGATAAATTAGAAAATATAGAAATATTCTATTTTGATTTTTAAATTAAGTTAATGAAATTATTATTTTATAAAATAAAAAAAAATTTAAAATATTATAAAAAAATTTATTAAATTATTTAATTAAATTATTATGTAATTAAATTTTATTTTGTAATTGGACGGTTCAGATAGTTTAAAAATAAAATTATAAACTAAATCAATTATATCGATTTTAAAATTTTATAATCTAAATTAATTTAATTTTGCATCGACTTAATTTAATTTTTTATTAAATTAAATCAATTTAAATCATATTAATCAAATTGAATAGGATGTAAACATCCTAGTTGTTAATATCATAGCCCCGTTTTCAAAATGCCAGTGGAATTGCCCGCCTTTCAAGTTTCAACCTCATGCGGGCAAAACTTGACCAGGGATCAACTTTCTGCAACAGCAGAACAAAATGATTCAAAAAGAATAATTATTGGCCCATAGAAAAGCAGAAAAGGCTAGTCTGACCGTGTGACGAGCGATATAAGGTTTGAGCGAATGAAAATGTACAATCATTGGCAGCGTCTGGCACCGTGGGCCGGTGAGGGCCTAGAGCTCACCAACCATGTGAAATGTGCCCGAAATTTCTAGACATCAAAGATATGACTTTAACATCTATTGGTGACACAAAAAGATGATTCAACTCTTAACGTCGTCTTTAAATTATCGTATCAATTTTTAATTTAATTTCTATTATTTTTAAATT